CTCTCCGACGACGCCGCGCGTCTTGCGGAGAGGAGGGGTGGGGAGGATGCTCGAGAGGAAGGGTTAAGAGAGAGGCACCGATGAAGAAGCGAGTTTGTGAAAGAAGAATATGAACGTGCGGTGTAACTTGGTTATGGAGAGGGAGAGAAAAAGGTTGCGTGTAATTGAGAAAAGTGGAAGTATTGTTGGAGGGAATGGGAGGTGAAAAAGTGAGATTAGGAAAGAGAAATTGAGATGAAATGTTTTTGTAAATAGAGAAAAGGCTGATAAAAAGAAATTTTGTAATTTTTGGATAAATGAAGAAAAGGAAATATAATTGATGGAAAATGGAAATATTGTTAGAGAATAGAAAGTGATATCAGAAAAAAGAAATTGAGAAGAAATGTAAGAGAGGAGATAATATTTTTTAGACAATAGTAAACAAATGAAATTAAAAAAAAGGAAAATAGAAAGAAAATTATATCGTACTCAAAACAATATACGATAAAAGATAAAAGAAGAAAAGAAAAGCAAGAATAGACAGAAATTTAAAATCTAATCTCCAAATAAAAAGTAATAAATTAAGAATCGAAAAAAGAATATATATATGTATAATAAAAAAAAAAAAATGATAGAAAAAAAAAAAGAAAAATCTGTTTTCCTTAAAGTCTATAAAACCAAGAAAAAAAAGAAAAAAAATTGCTCGGATAAATAAGAATAAAAAAATACAAAGACCAAATATGTAAGACAAAAGTAAAAAAAAGATATAAATGGTTATCGAAAAGGATTAAACGGGAAGAATATAGCAAGAGAAGAAACGAAGAAACATGACAAACGGATCAGGGCGAAAAAGAGGGAAAAATGAAAAAGACTGGAGAGACTGAGAGACAGGAGGAGAAAGACGAGAAGAAATGGTAAGAAAAAGAAAGCAAGTTGTCTCGGATGTCTGCTCGCCAGATCGTTTTTCTTCGAGCAGCGGCGCCTCCGTATGGGATTGCTCGTTCTGATCATTCTCCGCGGTGTTGTCGGCATGGAAAAAACGTCGATGAGCGAACGCTGTTTTCATCAAATCCTTTCTATATAGTAGCTGTCGAACAAGGAAAAATCGTTTAAATAATTTCGAACGTACAACGATGGCATAATTAATAAAGATTAATAAGAAATTTTTAAAACAATGTCAATATTTTTTTGATATTTTTTTGACTAAATAACATATTTAATAGATCTATAATTTACTTAAAAATTATTTGATAATATTAAATTATTTATTGTTATTAAAAAATTACTATTTCTTTTTACTAATATTTTTTTTTTTTTACAGAGAAAATAGTTTAAATATAATATGAGATAAAAATCAATACAAATTATAAATATTATTATAATACATTTTTTGAGATAATTTATTGTATTATTAAAGTTACAAGATGATTAGATTAATTTTTAAGAGAGAAGTCAAATTTTGAAATTATAAGGAAGATGGCACTATGACGACGGGATGATAGGAATTAAATTGGATTCAATGAAGATAAGATAAATTTGTGGATCCTACTTTGCAGCAAAGATACGAAAATTGTTCTAAGAATAACCTTCCCTAATCAAAGTCAAGTTCATTCGATAGAAAGATAGCGAGAAATTGAGACAGTCGTTACAAGACTCACCAAACCGTGATGTAATTTCCAACGAAATGCCTCTTCCTCTGCCTGTCTTTACGTATGATTCTAATATCTTATTAAACTTCTCGTTACTTTCAATTTTTTGTTACTTTCTACATTGCATAATAAATACTACATAATACATAACAAATATTACATAATTTTGTAAAAAAATTACGATTAAAACTTTAATGCATATAATATGTATATAATCTTTTAAAAATTGCCATTTAAAACTCAAAATCATTGACAAAAAACCAAAAACAAAACAAAAAAAATACACGTCACACATGAAAGCACATTCATAGATATTGATAACAATGGAAAGGGATTCGCTTTCGGCAGAAAATTCGTAGAAAATTGTGCACGATTAAATGAAGCGAAACAACGGGGGCTGGGTCGAGCAATCCACAGGAGCATTTACCATTAAATGGCATCGGTGTGGCTGGGCGAAATTTGTCAAGGGAAAGGGTGCGTCACTTTCTCCGCAGTCAGGAATAATTCAACCGAAAAGGAGCAACGTCGAGCCAAAAAAGAGGAAGATCATCGGCGGGTTTAAGTAACGAAAATAACTCGAATCGATTTTTCAGTGGGGTTCCGTCGGTTTCCAAAAAAGGACACAAATGCACTCTCGTGCGCACACGTCGTTAACCTACAATTTTAAAAGCCGGTCACCTCTTTCCACCTGAACACCCGATCTGGCAAGTGGAACGTCCTGTTCACAGGTGCACTTGGATCGACAAGGCGTTGGCGTTTTTAAAATGTACGTAGCATGTATGGAATTTTGCTAGTTTTTGAATTTCGCGCCAATTTTCTGGGAAAAAGAATAAAATTGAATGTCTTGATTCGTTAATTGTAGAAAAGACAGAATCTCAAAGAAATTTTTGGAAGAATGAACAAAATTGAATATAGACAAAATAGGATTTTAAAAAGAGAAATTGTTTCTGCAATTTATATAATTTTATTAGATTTGAATTTCTATTTCTTATTTATGATATATTTTTTAAATCTTTTATATATTTTTAAAATTTCTTAATTTCATGTCAATAGGAATTAATATTTCAATCGAGTTCTCATTATTATAAAAATTTTTAATATCTATATTTATTCCGATCGAAGTTTCCACTAACTTCTTAAATAAAATCAAATTTCAAAACCGATTTAAATTACCCACAAGATTTCAAATTTCCCGCCAATTCATGAAGGACTTGTTTTCAAACTTTCTTTTTCTACAATTCATTATGAAAGAATATTATGAGCCAGAAGCTAGTGCTTGAAGAAGGTAATACGGATATTTTTAGTTTATAGGATAGTTTATAGGTTAGTTTATAGGATAACAGAGGGGTCTGGCATGATAGCGTTCGATGTCAGGAAATCGCGAATAGTCTGGCTGACTACTGAATGGTTCTTTCAGCGCCTTCGACGGGACATTCAATAAATACGACAATTAGAAACGTCGCGTTCGTTCGAATGTAATTTTTATTACTTGCCAACCAGCCGGCTACTAGCGGGAATATTTAATAAATACTTGGAACGTGCCCCTAATAAATTCCTTCATTTCACTTCCGAATGATTAGGCTTTCTGCCAATTTTTCGAACAATTCTCTTTCAACGAATTTTATAATAATATATTATTATTCTTATTGTAATATATATAATTTCCACTTTACTTTTATATTTCAGGATCATTCTTTATATAATTTGCTACATAATTTTTTAAGCATAATAATGGAAATGAAAATATAAGTTATATTCTATTTTCTCCATTTTTGTTAGAAATATCTTATTGTAATCAGAAAAAAAAAAGAATAATTTTACATACTCACTTGGACCATCCTATATTAGCATTTAATGAGCAATATTATTTATACAATCTTCTATTCTTAGAAAGGAAAAGACTGGTTCAACGTCCAACCTCGTGAGAAATAGAAAATCGATCGCCGATGAAATTAGCCTAAGCACAGCTTCCGAGTAACTCGATCGGTTCGTTACGTGAAGGTTCACGTCCTCTAGGAAATACTCTCACTTTTATCTTTTTTTTCGTTTCCTGACAAAGGAGGAGTAATGAAAGTAATGTATTAATTTCAATTGAAATTTTAAAAAAGAAAAAAGATTTATAAGGAAAGTTTTACAGAAATTAAAAAATTTATGAATTCACCTACAGATAAAAGAGTTTTTTTTTTTTAAGATAAAATCGAGATTTCGTTAAAGATCCTGGCCACAGGAAGAATGGCGATTAGGATTGCTAATACCTAGAGATAAATGTGGCGAGCTAACTAATTAAGGACGCCGATAGATCACGCTTTGGCTAATGTCGAATTTTGCATATCGCCATTCTATGGGAAAGATCGATTGTAATGCGCCCAATCAGCTTTGGTTAATTAGCACCCAAATTGCTTCTAAAGAATTGTTGAAACTTCTTTTATTTGTTTTATTTTTATATTTTTCTGTGAGAAGAAAAAAAAATGATTATAGTCGAATATCATTCGAATTTTAAATAATATATCATTCGAAATTTAATATGGTTTTTTACATACATCTTTGAAATAATTTAACTTTGAAAAGTTTTAATAAATGAAATTAATAATAATTTAAAAATTTCTAATCCTAATATCCAAATCAGAAAAAAATTTCTCACCTCAAAATCGCATAAATATCTTTAATGTCGTTCCAAATTCAACATAAAGTTATTCCATTAACATAATATGATAATGATAATTATTGTTTCTTTAAAGTGATTTCTAAATTGACGATCGATGACAATAGCTGCGGAATAAAGTTCACTAAAAGATCAGCCCAACGATTATCCTTCGTTATCAAAGCTAGTTATCCCGTTGATCCATAAGAAAAACCAAGGATGAGTGAACGTTGCAATTCAATTGTTCAAGACCTACTTGCAATTCGCTAATTGCAAAACAAACGCGCCGATTCCGCGTAAATGCGCGTATGTGCTTTCTAATTACACGCGTCAATCCATCGTTCCACCACATTAGTTCCGTCAAATATCACGAATAGAATTGCGGTTATGAATTTAATTCTCGTATTTAGCGTGAAGGAAAATAGCATGGCGTTTAATCCTCTTTTCTTTTTTTTTCCTGTCGCAATATTGTTGCCTAAGAGATATCCGAGAGAATGAATCTTGAATGAGGTTAGGAACATCAATTTCTTGCATAGCTAAAAATTACTGTACAATTTTTAATTTTTTTAGAATTAATCAGTTAGATTCATATTGTTCAAAAACTATATATATTATAAAATTAAAACAAATAAATATAATAATACTATACTATGATATTACAAAATAAAAATTGTCATATTAACAGATTTACTATTAATACGCCATCTACGATTTAACGATACTAATTAAAGATAAAGTATTATAATGATCAATAATATGAATCATCCTGTACAAAATAAAAATGTCTTTTTCTTTGAATCGACAATATTTCAAATGAAATCAGATTATTTAAAAGCATATGCTAATAATAAATCCGACATCTTTGTCTCATTTCTATTATTAACAATCGACCTTAATTTCACGTGCTGTTCGAAAACATTCGTCGCGAGCACCGTAGGGCCACAATTTCCAAGTAGTCACTGGTTACCATCACGTTAATCGTTCTCCCAGTCTTACGTATATGTCTAAGAACAATGACAGCCAATTGTCGTAATTAGAACGTTGAGTTTACCGTACGAATCAAACGCAGCTGTTCGCTCGTGCATACGTATACATATATGTGATGCATGCTTGCAGAAATTTTCATAGAGAACAGGCGCCCTCTGCTGAAGAAACCGATCCCTTTGCGTCCGCCATTTTTCACTTTTAAGTTGATATTTGAGCATCTTTGGGAAATGTTACATATATGTATTTTAAATGTGTTTAATATAAAATTTAAGTGTATTTTAAAGATTTAATAATATTTAAATTATTAGAAATTGATAATTCTTACATTTATTTTAATTTATTTAATATATCAAGAAGATATTTTAAAGAACGCGATTAGTTAACGAAACAATATTATATATAACCTAAAAATGATCTGTTAAATGATATCTTTGATCTAGTAATAAATTTTAGTAACAAATTCCGAAGATAGTACATGCATATCAATTATCTATATTTTAAGAACGAATATATTAAAAATAATTTTCAATTTCTAAAGTGAAATTTAAAATTCTTTCCAGAATAATTTCGAAATAAGAAATAACTAAAACCAGCATTAAATTGCACAACACTTCAAACTAGGAATTTTAACCTCGTAAAATATAAATTTCATCTTATAACATAGAGAAAAATAAACGAAAATTCATAAATTGATTAAATTTCTATTTCCTAATGTGAAATTTGTTTTATTTCTTTTTCACTTTTTAGCAAAGAGAATAACTAGTGAATATTCTACTATTTTCTAACGAAGAAGTCGATTGATATAAACGAAGGTCGTGGTGTTTCTGGCCTCCAACGCGATACTCGTGGCTTTTCGTTGGCTTCCAGAGAGATATTAGCTAAGCGAACGGCTACGTACATATATGGAGGTGAAACAGCCGGTTCACAAAGGACATTCCATTCCATCTTACGTTAGCTGCATTAGCTTTGAACCACCATGGTCCCACAGTCAGAAGATTGAAACGTATGTCTCCAGTAGAAGAATTCAGAGCTTCCATTCCAAACAAGAATTTTATAAAAAAAAAGAATAATTTTCATTAACTTTCTAATTGAATTCTATTCATTTTAATTAAGTATTTAAAACTTAATAAAATTTTTTAGATAGAATGTATTGAAATATTGAAATATTTAAGTTATTTTTTAATTTTAGTAAAATTTCTTAATGAATAGTCAGAAAAACAGTAGATTCGAATCAATATTTATAAATTTGTAAAATTTATAAAAAAAATATATCTAAATAAAAAGAAAGATAAATAAAGAAAAAATTATATTTGATTACTAATACAAAGTTTACACAAAAAATAAGTTAAATTAAATATAGAAGTACTTTTGATAAAGATGACGAAAAGTAAAAAAATATGGATCACTAATAGTTCTAATTATCAATTTTTCTACTTTTACATTAACTCTAACAATTTAGATAAACATGATTTCATAAGAACTTAGTCAATAACCTAACTTAACCTATATATATGAATAATCTGACTTCTGTTAATCTTTAGTCGTTATAAAAATTAGAATTTCTTTGTTTCGAAAATTTCATGCCCACAAATTCATTTAAAATAATTCTAAATAATTAACAACAATCAACAATAGAAAATAAATTTTCCATTTTTTCTCAAATATTAAAAAACTAAAAAATATCTTTAAAAATCAAATACTTTTAAAACAATTAATATAAAACATTAGAAAAATATAAAATTTAAAAAAAAAATAAAAAGTAATATAAAAAGAATAAAATGATTTAACCTAAATAACATTTTCACTAAATAAAAAAATTTTTATTTCAAAAAATTTAAAAAAAATTATTCATTAGTCTTAAATTGAATTTTTTATGAGAAATTTGATGACAAATTCTTTCTAATCTTCACTGAAAATTTTCAATAACACATACGATATCTTGTCTTTAGTTGTCGATTGCGAAACTTATGTTCTGTTTACAACGCGGCTTTCTGACCAGTGTGTAATATATGCGCGCGTGAAAGTGGTCGTATTCGTAGTCGAAGTTGTCGTCATAATGTCATAAAGAGAAAAAAAAAAGACAGACGTGTTTAGTAATGACCTAATACTAAGTCGACATTAAATTTGAACGAACAGGGACCGTCTAACGATACCGAACATCAAGCTATTCGATATTGCAAACTAATTGGCAATGACAGGGACTCTGGTGTTCGATTAATCGTATAACTTATGTGACAAAAATTAAAAAAAAAAAGAAACAAAATGAACTAATAATGAAAAAAAAAATATAAAAATAATAATAAAGAAAATTTTTTTCGCTGGTATTGATGAATTTGTGAGTACATTTATATATAATTACATAGCTAACCTATAAAATTTTATCCCTATAAAATTTTTTATAATAATGTTACTAATTTTAACTTATTATTATATGTATGGATACTTTATCCAAAAATATTCATATAATGTTGTAAAAATTTTTAAAATTTTTAAATCTTTGAAATATTCAAAGATTTGTGTTTAAATATCATTTGTTTGCAATGTAAACACTTATTTTTCTCATCTTTTCAATCTTGAGATTTTATTTCATTTGGTTTTATTTAATTAAATATTTAATTGGAGAATTAATTACATATACAGGATGTTTAAAAAATAAAGTTTAGAGATTTAGCCACATTGCCTATCATACGGTATACGCCACATGCTGAACTTTCTGTTCTGTTGTAAGATTATTTTCGTTACTAAATCTGGCCTAACATGTTTTGTGAAATCATGCGTTGATATTTAGGTATTAACAATTTTTGTTTCATAGTAATTTTAAGCATTGTATATTTTTTTTGCCAAAAATGACTTTCGCAATCTTATTAATAGTAACATAATTAATTTCACGTTAAGTACATATATGTACTCATAACGTAATAGAATTAAAATAATACTGAAAAAATGCAAATATAAAATAAAATAGAAAATATCCATATTAATACTTATCAATACATTATCAAAATCTTTTAATTTACTGCCATTTTTAATTGAAAAATAAAATTTATATCTGATTACCAATTTATTTGAATTAACCAATATAAAATAGTTTTATTATGAAAATAAAAATGTTTATTATTTACTAAATATATATTATAGATATTAATAGAATTTTAAATAAAATTTACATCAATAAAACAGAATTTGATAAAAATTATATAATTCTTTGTTTCTTAATTATAGATAATCTTAACAAAATAATGTCTCTTTTTTTCTCTCTCTTAGGAAGTATATTAAGGAGTGGGAATGTCGCATAGTGGGAAAATTGTGCTGCATGATGGGGAAATCAACTCGGTATTACCTCAAGGGATTGAAATCTTCGACGCAGATTATAATCGCCACAATTTGCATGCAATATTAAAACGTTCATGCTAATTACATTATTAATCACGTATAATAAAAATCTGGAATAGAAAACATTAAGTTCATCGAACTTGCGAATCACAGAAGCTAACGTTCTCTTTTCCAAGAATAGTGTAAGAATTGTTCGCCTTTAGAATTACGATTTTTCATCGGTTACGATCAGTATCGACACGATGCAGTATAATGGAACGAAATTAATTTGCAAACAATCGCGTGAATTTTCACCGCGTTAAAAGCACTTTCTCCCCTTCTGTCGTAACTGTTTCTTCTCAAGCTTGCTCGACATTTTTATTTTTTACAAATATATTCATTTTACGAAATTCAGCATCATTTGTCAATCTTTTTGTGAAAGTACCAACGATCAACGATTTCAACGGTTATACACACCGTTTGAATTTCGACTTCGCTTATAAATCAAACCCTCCCCCTTGAATGCATGTTTTAACGTATACAAATATCAATTAACGATCGAACGAACGAGAGAATTGTTTTCCAAGCGTCCAATCGAGCGTAACAATGAACAGTATATTAAAATCGTATGCACGCAGCTAATTTCTCATTCTACCGGCTCATTATGTCCGGCAATGCGAGACCAAGTATGAATGAAACATAAGGCCCGATGTTTATCATCCTCCGACGAAGTTCAACCCCGCTAGCTATGAATATTCATCGAGGACGCGAGCTTCTACCATGATAATAATAATAAAATCTCGATGAAATAAGGATCGTGAACGAGGCGAAAAATAAGTTCACGATGATCGAAGAAACGATCCCCTGGAGGGGGATCGCCCACGATCTATCCTTATACCGCGAATTATATTATTGAACGATTAACATAATTCCGTCATCCGTTCTCTCAATGCAGAGACAATTACACGCTAACAATCGTCGTAAGAAATTTGCATAATACCTTGAAGATATATTTATATAACATATATATATATATATATTTCAAGTTAAAGAAATTTTTAATTAATCAACACCTACATTATTAAACCTCAATAATATTCTAAATATGGAAAATATTACCTTTACAATCCTCGGGATCGAAACATTTCTCTTCATCCTCGATTTATTGAATTTTTATCGAATCAAAATAATAGAAAAAAAAAAAAAAAGAAAAGAAAACACCACGATTTTCCTCATTACCTCTAACTATACATTCGAACGATTCTTTCAGACGATTCAGACGTCTCGCGATCGATGGCGTCTAGAGAAACCGGTAACAGAGGAGAGGAGGCGTGTGGAGATAGGCGTCGCCATCAGGACAGCACGATAAATACTGAGGATGGTACCAGTGCGGGAGACTTCTAAGCCTCGTGCACCGTTTCTGTCCCGCATAAGGTTCACGTGGTGCAGGAATACCACCGCGGAGTCACGGGGTGCGGTCTCGTTTCGCCGCGGCACTTTTCTGTCTCCGCTCAGAACTACGAGCAGAACCGGTCTCTCTTCGAACGAACGAACGAGTCCACGAGTTGTGTGGATCGACGAGAGTCTTTCTTTCTCTCCTTTCCTCTACCTTCTTCCCTTCGATGACTTCTCGACCAGGTAACACGTTCGCGATTCTCGAGGATCAGCTGCTCCGTCGTTGCACCCACACCGATCTCTTGCGTCAGCGATCGAGATCGATACGATTTTTCCCTTTCGTTCGACAGATTTCTTTATAGATTTTCTTTTTCCTGGAATTTTTCACGTATCTTTTAGAGAATTTTATTATTATAAATTGATTCTGAAAACTTTTTGTTTTGTTTCTCTCGATTTTGTTCAACAGGGTGAAATATAGATTTGATATTTTTTATTACAATTTCTTTTAAGTTTCCAACTTTTTTCTTATCTTTTCTGGATTTTATTTATCCTAGATGGATTAACTCTGTTTTAATATATATTTAATATTTAATAAGCAAAATTTCGTGGATTTTTTACATTTGCTTTTCTAAAAGGAAGAATCATTCAAGTGACATAGAAAAAAAAAGGAAAATTGCAAAATATTAGAAAATGTGTTTATAAACAGCGATAATTACGGTGTATGTTTATCATCATCATTGGAAAGAGGCAATAAAATTTTAACGTATCTATCGTGACTGGATCGAGGGAACGAGATTCCACAACTCGAAAGGAATTCATAAAGAAAGAAAAAAAGAAAGAAAAAATAGCAGAGCAACGATACAAGCTTCTTGTAACTTTAACGCGCTTCTCATCTCCGTAGTATAAAACGATCGCTTTTAATAACTAGTTTCGCGTTTCGCCGATAACAAGTTAACCGAACAGGTTTATTCCCTCTCGTTCCAGGGTGTCCTTCTTTCCCGAGTTTGTTTACCGGTTACGCCACTCTATGCTCGCCTAAGATCGCGGGTATATTTCGCCTCCCACGTGCCACGCAACTCAAAATACCGATCTCGAGGAGAGAAATCGTTGGTCAAAGGTGCACGTGCCGCCGATTCTATGACAAATATCGAACGATCGATATTTCCCTCGTCCTCTCGTCCTGTATAAATCTTCCTTTAAACGAAAAAAAAAAAAAATAATAAATATCGAATGATCGATACAATATTTTTCTCGATTTTATGACAAATATTGAAAGATCGATATTTTCCTCGTCCTCTCGTCCTGTATAAATCTTCCTTTAAACGAAAAAAAAAAAAATAATAAATATCGAACGATCGATACAATATTTTCCTCGATTTTATGACAATATCAAACGATATTTCCCTCGTCGTCTCGTCCTGTATAAATCTTCCTTTAAATGAAAAAAAAAAAAATAAAAAATATCGAATGGGCGATACAATATTTTTCTCGATTTTATGACAAAAATTGAAAGATCGATATTTTCCTCGTCCCCTCGTCCTGTATAAATCTTCCTTTAAACGAAAAAAAAAAAAATAAAAAATATCGAATGGGCGATACAATATTTTTCTCGATTTTATGACAAATATTGAAAGATCGATATGTCCCTCGTCGTCTCGTCCTGTATAAATCTTCCTTTAAATGAAAAAAAAAAAAATAATAAATATCGAATGATCGATACAATATTTTCCTCGATTTTATGACAATATCAAACGATCGATATTTCCCTCATTGTCTTGTCCTGTATAAATCTTCTTTTAAACGAAAAAAAAAAAATAATAAATATCTAACGATT